TAGGCGCTTTCCTGGTAGTCGCTGCAGCCGCTTTTTGCATTTTCATTACTTTGCTCTCCATCCCGTCATTTGACTGACGACTAAATTTGTTTTCTCGTCTCGAACTTTTAGTTCCAGGATCTATGGCTTTCATTGGTTTAGAGGATATTGATGTAATAGCGTTAACGTCAGAATGTACTTGCGTCAGTTTTTCATCAATCGGATGCTCATGCAGTATTTCAGTTCTACGTTGGCCAGAACCGGTGTTTTCATGCAACTGTGCCAAAGTTTTACCTCTTCCTTCAGTCTTTTGATGTGCGTTATTGGCTTCAGCTTGTGACTTTTCACGAAATTCTGATTCTTGAAGAAATTTTCCTAACAACTTCGAATTTCCTACCGTCGGTTCCTGTCCTTCTCCTAATAGGATTTCTTGAATATAACTAGCACACACTGGAGCGCCGTGAGATTGCGCAGCTATGGCAGCTTTCGATCCAGGAGTGAGACCCAATTCCTGATCAGCATGATCATCAAATCCACATGGACTGTTTGGCGCTTCATTTCCATATGTTGCTGTAGAACCCTCGAAACCGAATATCTGTTGCGGGATGCTATTAGAGTCGTCTTCGTGCTTCTTAACTGATTTGGCGAGTACTGTTTTCGCATCTGCTTCTGTATCAATTGCTAATGATGTTGCTGGATCCGGTTCAGAATCCACAACATTCTCTAGCTTCTCTTCAGTCACATAATGGTCCGAAATGTTCCCTAGACGGCTGTTTCCAGAAATAGGTTGTTGTAAATCACCTAGTAATTTTTGTGCGGCGTCTTTTTCATTCTCCATTTGCTGAAAAAGCTTTAAAAAATTATTTAATTTTAGAAAATTTACAGAAAATTACAAGAATAGCTTGAGTACATATGACATACTCAAAAAACAGGACAAAACGCTAGCCACAGGATAAAATGATCGCAAGAATCTCAATCGGAAAGACACTGACTGAGAAAGCTCTATTTTGGCGCTCCTAGACCGTTGTAACATAGCCACACGGTAAAAAATTTACCAAAAATATATAAACAGGCAAAAATACAAAAGCGAGGGCGAAGAGATAATTCCGATAAACCGAATGGCTGATATTAGTTTGATTTTTATGCTCGCCTCTTGAGAAATGAACAGGGTAAGAAAGCAGTATGTAGCCGTACATTATTTTGCTGACTAAAGGCATGCTCGGGAAATCAACTGCTTGAAAAAGTATTAGAATTCCTGATTCTGTTGATTCCAGCAGCAAGGTCCAATTTTCACAAAAAAAAACTGAAAGCGGTTACAAGTTCGTCCCAACGACTGTTCCTCTTTGATCGATGAAAAAATTCAAATGGGCGTTCAACTGTGCAAAGCATTTTTATCAAACATTCTATCAAAAATTTTAAAAAAATGCATGAAAAACTGGAAACAAAGAGGAAGAATTGATATAGACTGACTGTCCATGCTTATTTGTTTCTAAAAAAGTAAAAATTCCTTTCCGAAATGTGTTCCATGCCACACCGCGAGACGAAAACAAAAATGTTTTATTTGTGATGAATCAGAGCTGAGTTTTTACTTGTGAATTTTGTTCTAGCAAGGAATGAATACGGAAATATGCGGATAAAACAAAGGATTAGTAGAGCAGTGGTAGAAAAAAAAAGTACCATCAAAACAATCTTGAATTTTTGAAGCTTTCCATTATTAATATGGGAAGCTCCGATGTTCGCACAAATCAATTACCATCACCTGTGTCCCTCTCTGCAGCTCCCGAAAAAGAGTGGAATGCACGCAAGTTTTAGCGATCTTTACCCGACTGCCACAGGAAAAAACAGCCCTTGCTAAAAATGACGTCCCTTTTAATTCTCTGTGAGAGCATTTTAGCACTAAATTTCGTTTTCCAAACAGTAATTCACCTCATGGCACTTTTATCACTTCAGCGCTAAATCAACTTCGAAACCATTCATCCGTTTTCTAAATCACTGTCATTTCAGATTTCCGCTATACTCTGCATTTCTCTAGTAAAATTTCAAGTTATTCAGGCGACCCTCCACCACACTGTACACTGAATATCAACCCAAAATTTCACATTTTTATGCATAATTTTGGCAGCTGCTGCGCACAATTTTTTTTTTTTATTGCTTGCAAAAAATTTTCTCAAATTTAGCATTTCAGCATAATTTTGGATAGCATGTCGCAAAAAAATTGATGTGCGTCGCCGTCAAAGCTTTTGTTCTCGTAAATCAGCAGTCTTACAGCCAAAAGTCAAAGATGACCAGTCCTGCTTAGGTAGCGACATTTTGAGCAATTCCAAGTTACCAAGTTCTAAGTAAAACTACTTTAGTGAAGGGCCCCATGGATTCGATTCTATTTTCAAAAATGAAGTGGTAATTAGACGTGTTAAGCACGGATTCATACGCTACCGAACGAGCTAATGGGTCCGGCTCGAGGGTGGCACTGGGCCCGGCTCGAGGGTGGCACTGGGTCCGGGGTGTGAGGGAGGCGCATGAGGTCCGGAGAAGGAGGGTGGGTAGCTATACGTGGAAGGTGAATTTAGATTTGATAAATTTATATTTTGAGGGTGGCATATGGATATTAAAAAGCATGTAATTTCAGATTTAGTTCTTACATGCTACCGAATGAGATAATTTTTGATATAGATGTTGCAGCTGCAACTGAAAAGAATAAATGCATTCAAATTGATGGATTTTTCGGAGTTTTATAATGTGCTATAGCGAAACCGAGCTACTTCTTTCTAGCAAAACCAAATTCAAACGGTAGCCCTAATTACTGAATTAATGTGTGGATGAAATGGGCGACTGTTCTCAGATGCAATTACAAATTAAATATAAAAAACGTGCACAGTGCGTTGCGTCTAAAAGTATGTCTGACACATATAATTGTCACGTTAGGTCCTCAAAAATTTAATTATTTTCAAACAGGATCATTATGAAAGTAGTGTTATTCGAGCGTTTACATGAAAACTTAATAAGTCCGAGGATTCACCACATTACTTGTACACGATCAGGGGAGATTGATCATATCTGACCATTAAAATTCTGCCCATGAGATCAACTAAGAAAAGTTCCAGGCTTATACTGATACAATTTTTTTTGTGATATCCATCGGTAACAATGCCCAAATATCAAATTTGGGCAAACTTAGTGGAAACATTAAAAAGCAAACCCGTGTGACACGGTCTGCCAAAAGTAAGCCATTTTTTGATGTGGAAAATTCTGGCATTTCCTAACAAGGCATAAAGAAGATAGCCACTATATGCCTTCGGATATGCCACCGAGTACTATTTTTTTTTTTCGGATTCTGAAACAAAAAGTCGCAAGGACTGGACTTTGGGATATAGGAAAATCTTTCAAATCTCAGGATCAAAATACCAGTTTTAGATCCTTTCAAATGGCCTCGCAACTACAAGACCCAAAAATGCTATGTCGAACTGGAAGCAACTGCCATTTTGTTTGCACAAGGAGTCAGTTCGCTCGCCTTCGTTAGTCCTGTGCCGCAAACAGAACAACTAGAGACGCACATAACGGAGAATTAGATAAAATTTTTGGAATCAAATAAAACGACAAACGGTAAGTTTTACGCTGAATAAGTTGGAGTTAGTAGAAACAAAGCTTCCCGTCCAGGTGGGGAATAAAAATTTTGGACAGCGGACGAAAAGCTAACATCCCAACAACTGCTTTGCTCTGAAAGCAGATGAAAGCCATTGCTGTAGCAGCCGCACACTTCTGCAGGACAAGTGAAAAAAGCCGAGCTGCTACATCAGAGAAGACAATAAACAACGTCGTGTTTTCGACAACACTGCAGTGCCAGTGCTACCGTTTTTTTTTTTAAAGTTCGATGAAGGATCAGTCGGGGGTCACCAATACTAAGCCATTTTTGCAGCTAAAGAATGGTTTTAACAAAAGTTTGTGGATAGACTGAGAAGCTGAGGTGCACATCTTTTGCATGCAAGCTATCGCTGAGGTGAATCATCATCCCGTGTAAAGCGAAAAAAAAGATAGGAGATTTCTCCATGAGTTCTGGCATTTGAGCACGAATTTTTAGGCAGTGCAAAAAAAAAAA